GCGGCGCGAAGCGCCGCTCGCGTAGCGAGCTCAATAAACTAACGTGTACGAACGTAGTGAAAATATCCAAAATTCAGGGTTGAAAGTTTCTGCACATTGTTCCAAGAAATTTTTATCTCACCGCGTGAAAAAATTCCAAAATCAACAGTAATCCTTTGCGGTACATAGCAACGTGGCTTAAACATAGCAACACCTTACTTGAAAAAAATACAAAACAACGATTTATTGCAATTCCCATGCCAGCAAACCATCGTTTGCTTCCTGCGCTCAGCCCTAAGTCTACAGAACTTTTTATCTGACGTCATATTTTGGTCACTTTAAAGTTCTTTGTTAAAGTTTTTATACATTAATGAATTTTTTTCCTAGAATTTTGTAGAGGAAACAAAAAAAGAAATCGGCAAGAAAAAAAACGAAAAGAAAACGGGACCGTCGGGAGCCGGGAGTCGGGAATCTAGATTTACCGCGTGCACGATGTTTGGTTATGTACGTTTGTACTGCAAAGATTCGTTGGTTTTGCATTCATTATTTTGTTACGTACTTGTTCGTTGGTTTTGCTTTAATGTATATGAAAGGTCTGTTGATAAGCATTGTATATCATGTGTGCAAGTTTTTATGGTCATTGAAACACTAATGGTATAATTGGTTGTTTTCTTATTGTTGTAATTTTTGCCCCAACTGCCCATAAAAAAACCTTTTTTAAAAATATTATGATACAATTACTACTCTAAATAAGATAGATGAGGATCGACATATATGTGTAAAGTGTTTTATTTTTCAATATCATTTATTTATTTTTATCATTGATAAATCTTTACCTTCTTCCGTACAATGTAAGTCTTAGAGAGTAAATCAAAATATGAAATGCGAATGAATGACTAGAGCTTTTTTCAGCTTAAGGACCTTTTTCCGGTTAACTTACACTGTACTGTCTTTGTTTATTAGTCCAGATGAAACCACAGGGGACTATAACTTTCATCTGAATCTGTCCATCCATTTGTCCCTGTGTCTGAATCCGCCATTAAAAAAGATAATTCAAATTTTCTTCATAAATCTTTTGAGTGGATTTTGTCGTATATTTTATACTGAATGAAACGCATTAGAACAAAATATGAGAATTTTTTTGACAATGTGGCCGAAAATTGGTCTGATGTGCATTTAGGTTACTTAATTAACACTTAAATCGCTGTTCAAAATGACTCGATCATGAAATGTATAGCGTCACGTAGGGAAAGTGATAAAATGCTAAAAACACGCGCAAATTGATGATGAAAATTTTGTGATCATATTGTGTAATGCTAAACGATGCATTAGAGTTATACACATCTGTTTTTCCATAATTTGCAGTCAGTATAAATTTCTTGTTTGTTTTTAACTTTTCAAAAAAAATTTTTTTTTGGTTCTCACACAATACGTAAGAAGTTTCGCAATGCATAACGGTACGTTAGGGCGTAACAATTCACACTAGGGAAAATGTAGCAGAGTGTTATGTTGAGACTTTTCACTGAAAGAATAAAAATGTGTGATAACAATATTTTTCACAAACGTATTGACAGATACTAGTAATAGTTTTAATTTAATTCAAAAGTTTACATATATATATAATGCGATTTTCTTTTTCCTTTGCAGTATATTTGACTTCAATGATTTTCATTCACACTGGGAAAATGTAAAAGATGTCCAACATGTCCATAAGCATAGGTGTATCAAACAGCTGGGTTCAGTAAATTTTATCCTTAATCGAAACTTCGTGGGATTCATTGGGCGGGGAGATTTGTTGGCTTTAGAATGTTACAGCTACTTTTTACCATGAAGAACAATCACAGCTATTTTGAAATAATAATTAATAATAGTTGTATAATAAAATTGCTGTAGAAAAATTGAGGAATTGAAAACTGTTACTTGCCTTTGAAAAAAAATTTTGGCCATATTAATTACTATAACTATTATCCCCCCCCAAGAAATGGGATTGTTAATTAAAGAGGAATTTAATGTGTGTTAACAATAATGACAAACGTATTCGAAATACTAGTAATTTTTTTAATTTAATTCAAAAGTTTACAATGCGTTTTTTTTTCCTTTCAGTATATTTGACTTAACTGATTTTCTTTTAAGAAACTGAAAAGATGTCCAACATGTCCATAAGATATGAATAACGCGTTCAATGGTATTTTTGTGTATATTCTATTGTAAAATGAAAAGAAAGGTTTCTTCGGTTTTCGCTACGCGCTGCGCAGTGGAAAGATCGTCTGCTCTTGAGACGCTAAGTAAGGAGTTGATCCTTCGCGGGTTCGAATTCCAATGTGGGACATGGAGTTTGGTCTTTCGGATGAGACCGTATAAACTGAAGTCTAGTGTCGCAGTAGATGCTGGCACGAAAAAGATTTCTCACTGCTCAATGGCGATAAGTGCCGTATATAAGACAAAATTTGCATCTCTCTACAGGCAAGTGGTTGCATCTCCATATATAAACAAAACAACTGCTTTCCTCGTGCACCACAGTATGCAGTGATGAATCACGCAAGTCAAAAGAGTTTTAAGTTAATAAGGAGTGGCTAAGCTCCACATAAACCCTTGTCATCATGAAGATTTGCTAAGTTTACGATATTAGAATAAATGCGTTTGTGTAATAATTGGCCTCATGCAAGTTTGAAATAAAATATATCAGTATATATATCATTGTATATATATATATATATATATATATATATATATATATATATATATATATATATATATATATATATATATATATATATATATATATATATATATATATATATATATAGTGCAATTTATATATATATATATATATATATATATATATATAGTGTTTTTTAATATTGGCTTCATCTAACAAGTTGAAATGGTATATATTACCGACTTCAACTTCAAAATTAGTAAATCTCAAATAATTTTTCAGGAAATCGAATTAAAAACCTACTATACATTTTGCTGTTCAAATATCATCAACAACAACATTTTAGAGGTATCCAGGCTTTTGAAGAATTTGCAAATTTTTATACATACAAGTTACATTAATCTCTTCGATCATTTTACTAGGCTAAGTGTATAAAGGTTTTCCTATCATTGCAAAACACAACAAATTACTTATTTCATATCGTTAACATTGGTAGCTATGGTTAGATGAAAATGAACCCCCAGTCCTTAAATATGTAATTTTATAATATTTTATGTAAAATTTCGACTTGCTATAAAATCTCTCTGTAAAACGTCATAGAACATTGATGCACATCACGCAGAGCATAAATAAATTTATTGCATGAAAAGAATTAATTTTCAAGCTTCATTAAGAGACCTTTTGAATTTAATTATAAATTAAAGAGCTCTTCCTAGCTGAGGATCAGAGTACCTTAAAAAATAACAAGCAAATGGAATTATAAGTTTATTTTGTTATCTTAGAAAACAGTTAGTTTTGTATACTTTATATACACAAAAAATTGCAGGATTTGGAAATAAAATTATATAAAGGATATAATATATATATATAATTGCATGTGATTATCGAAGTTAAACTGTATTTTCAAACCCTTTTCTTTAAACGCTTTCAACATTTAACTTTTTATATTAAGGAGGCTTCAACTTCAAAATTAGTAAGATCTTAAATATTTTTTTTAGGAACGGTATCTTTAGCTGTCAACTATCAAAAGAAAAAATTCATACATGCATTTTAGTTTTGAAATTTGATCATATTTGTACATCTTTATTTGGAGTTCTCCTTTTAAAGGAGATTGAAATAGTCTAAAAAGCATAGCCTCTATTAAGTACTTAATATATTGAAAAAAATTTGCATTACAATACATGTATTACAAGTAAAAGAATAATTAATTTCATCTATAATTCTAACAAACCTCATTAGCATATGCATAAATCATTATAAATTCGTATTTCTAAATAGGAAAATATTTTAAAATTTAACCTTTTAAAACGTTCAATTCCTGAAGGAACTTCATGTGTAGGCTTCTCCATAAAAATTTCAATTCAAAGATAAACAAGTTTAAGATTGCTTACATTTTAAAATATTGCTTTTAAAATTAACAATCTGGTTAATTACAAGTTAATTAATCGCTGCTTAAAACTGTAGTTTTATCGATACATGTAACTAGACACATGTTCAATTCAGACTATTTTCGCCAAAACCAAAATATTGGTACATGGGGTACATTAAGAACATATGTACATTTCAAACAAACTGGTCAGAGGTGCAAAAACTATATATATACCGTGTTTTGCAATACAAAATTTAGATATGTACACATTAAAGACTTCATGCATACCACATATAATTCTTCAAACTTTAATTTTCTAGTCTATTTATTTGCTAAAATAGAGCAGAAAATATACCTTAAAAAATAACAAAAATAGGCCTACATTATCCTTTCGAAAAACCCGCGCTTTTGAAAATAGTTCGCGTATACATGTATTCAGTATTGCACAATTTGCTCTGAACATGCTTATTGCAAAGAGAAGTTTATTTTTTATATAACTTGAATCCTTTATAATAAGCTCGCGAGAAAAAAATTTAGCATAAAAATATAAATATATAGTAAATCAGTGCACAAATACAAAAATTATATATTATGCTTAAAAGACTAAACACACACACACATATTCAAGCACACTCAAACACAACATAAATTAAATATAGAAATCAAACAATTATTTTAAATTCGTTAATACCATAAAAACTTTCATCTGCTTTTTACTGAAGGTCTTATAAATACAAAGACCTATTTTGCTGAGAACAAATATACTTGATTAGTCAAGCATACAACTCCTCCAAATTCTCAGAAGTTTTTTCCAGGCAATACACAATAAATACAAGAATATATAGAAAGAAAACAATAAAGGTTTTTCAAATTCTTCCATTAATTAAATTTTCCCTAGATTTTCATTATAAATATATTTGCTTAGATCAATTGGTATATAGATAAAATACTTTATGGCAAAAGTGGGATGTGCCGAGCAGTTAATCATATTACCATTGGTTTTCATCAAGTATTTCACTGTTTGTCGCCTTGTACCACTTTTTTCTGATTTATCTAGGATCAAATTTTCTTCGTTGTAATCAATATACACAAGGAAGACCTAAAAAGAAAAGATATTTTTGACTAACAATTATTTTTGATTAAATCTACCTCTTTATAAACATCAACTTATTATCTAATATATTCGAAAGTAAGAATTATATTTTTACCAGGTGGATAATGTGTAAACAAACAGCATCGTCTAAATTGAGAGAATGGTGCGGCTGAAGATTAAACATAGGAACCAAGCAAGCTAAAAAACCTATACAAACAGGCAAGGAATAAAAAAAGATAACGAATAGTAACCAAGCTCAAAAGTCCATTAAATGTAAAAAAAAATCGGGGGCAAGGCAAACACGGACCTCTAAAAACATCAGAGGTTTGATGAAGTTGCTTTGAAGGAGTAAGCCTACATGTAGTATTCTACGTAGAAAATAAGTTTATATATGCTATTTATGTTCATAAATGATTTTATGCCCATTTCTTGTATATTGAAAGTGGGCCAAGCGAAATAACTCTAATACTTTTGAGCAGTCTTGTTTTTTGCAACAGCGTCAGTATCAGATTGAGTACAATCAGTGGCAGCGCCATATTTGTATGGAAATACAAGTTTATTTTTGAACAAGCAAGTTGGCTTACAGCGTTCCAGTGCACAATTAATACATTTGATGGACTTCTGGTGGTGTGATCTTTTGGATTTCCAAGGAATTCAGCACATCTGTAAGTGTTAAAAGACGAGACTTGAAATTCGGTCCTGGCACACGTGGAAGGCCTACGTGCGTTCAGATTTTCCATCATTCGTGACCCGTGTTGTCCCAACGATCATTGTTTTGTACTGTGTTCTTCCTTCATCAAGATGTCTGTATTAATATTTGACTCACACATTCGACGCTTATATCATTATGCGAGGAAAAAGAGACAACATGCTAACAATTATATTTAATGTACAAAATGTAGCGATTTCGGTCATTGGGATTAGTGGGGGCAGAAAAGGTCGAAGTATGGACATTAGAGTGCTAGAAGAGGAGATTCAAAGGAACCGACCATAGAAGCTAATTTTACATATTGCGGGAAAATTTCGATCAGCCGCAGGCTGATGAGGTTAAGGGAAATTGTGTCAAAAATAATGGCGACATGTGTGATGTGACTTGTTTTTAAACCGGTATCGTTTAAATACACTATAGATATATGTGTGTCAGTTGTTACCTAGATATTCCACCAGATATTGCCGAGTTGTTTTATACACACACACACACAGTCTTTGCAAATCAACTTTTAAAACACACGTTAAAAACAGAAGGCAGGTTGTGTACTGGAAGTTAAAGGGCTTGAAGAACTCTGTAGAGAATAACTTATGTGACGGTGTACACATGAACCATATTGGCAATGTAAATATTACAGGGCAATCAGGGGTGTTGTGATTCATAGTACAAGCGATAGCTAGATAAATAGTTTGTATGTCATTTAGCCATATAACAATTATGGTTAATTTGCAATTTAAATTCAGAAACAGGCAATACATGTATATATAGCTTTTCATGCATATATGACACAATGTTTTACTTTCAGCAGATTTTTATTTAATCACATATTAGATGCATTGTAGAGAGCCAGTCCAAGAGTGGGAAATACAGCAAGGGACCCTTGTGATCAAGCATTTATTTTTGCTTAGAACAGTAATGGAAACTTTTTCTTCTGCAGGTGTTGCAGAAGACAGTGATAATGCCACATGTTCAAGTATGAGTAGTAATTTTGCACATTATGAACAATTAGTGGTATTTTAATGTATTACTGATTCTTGATAATTTTATCAAGTTACAAATGCCTATCGCTATGCTTTACAATACGTGACAATTTTATCACGCCTTGATCATCGGAATTTTTAATTCTATCTCATAAATGCGATACATGGACACAGATAGTGATAATTTTATCACGTCTTCATTATTGCTGAATCTTGTTAATTTTATGAAGTTACAAATGCGATAATTTATCGCTATGCTTTACAATAAGTGATAATTTTATCAATCAGTGCTGAATCTTGATAATTCTATCAAGTTATAAATGCGATAATTCTATCGCAGTTAGTGATAATTTTATCACGTCTTCAATAGTACTGAATCTTGATAATTCTATCAAGTCATAAATGCGATAATTCTATCGCAGTTAGTGATAATTTTATCACGTCTTCAATAGTACTGAATCTTGATAATTCTATCAAGTCATAAATGAGATAATTCTATCGCAGTTAGTGATAATTTTATCACGTCTTGATCAGTGCTGAATATTGATAATTCTATCAAGTTATAAATGCGATAATTCTATCGCAGTTAGTGATAATTTTATCACGTCTTGATCAGTGCTGAATCTTGATAATTCTATCAAGTTATAAATGCGATAATTCTATCGCAATGCTTCACTAGGGATAGTGAATTAATTAGTGATATTGCAATGGTTTCTTGATACATTGTGTAGCTCTATTTCACTAGTGCACTTTAATTATACAGATTGTTTTAAAGTAATTCCACCCTCCTATGAATGTCATAGGTTTTTGCAAAAACTGTAATTAATTTAAATTCATACCTAAATAAATATCTCTTGGAACAATGCTTTACAATAAGTGTAATGATAAATATTGTAAAGTTAAAGAATTTTTAAAATGCATATTTTATAAATTTAAACAATAATACCTTTTTGTTTAAAAATTGTTGACAAGGGCAATAACTCCTTCTAGGGTCTCTGCATTCTGGCATTTACTATATTGTAAAATAGTTTATCTGATATTCACAATTCAAAAGTATCTTTTAAGTAGGAAGTATTTAGCAACACTCAGCATCAGAATTATGCATTTTAGCCAGTTTTACTTATTTTTCATAATACTTCTATAAAAAATGTGCAATTTTTGTTATGTTGACATACACTTCTGTATATTTATGTTTTGCATCTTAAATAATATGGTGTATATATTTCCTGCAATAATTAGAAAGTTTAAAGTATATGTAATGAAAATAAATGCAGTTTTTAACTTTGAACCTATAAAATTGTGAGGGTGGAATCGCCTTAAGATATAAACAATATTTTGTATAAAGAATTACCCTAGAGTCAGGTCTAATGGGTAATTTTATCCTATTGCCTGATATGGGCTAAGATTTGGATGAGTAAATCAACAATATTTTTGCAACATTAATCAAAAATAATTTTATCAGTCATAGATAGGTTGAATTCTTGACATGATTTGTATAAATTAGGCATACATGCTAACATCCTTTTACAGAGATGAGTACTGGTAATAGGCCTACAGACTATGGGGGTGGTAACAAAGTCAGTCAATTTACAAGAGGAAGTCGCAAGTGACACCCCAGCAAGCAACAATCATTCAAGCCAATTAGAAGATGGCAATTTTACCAAGTAATTCAGGTTCTAATTAACAAACAGCATCTAAGGAGTTATCACCTAACGTAGGGGGTAAGAATCCCTTTTCATTAGGCCATTGCGTCTCGGTGTAGATTCTAAGATAAAAAGCAAAATCTGGGGAAATTTGTTAGGAATCAAAAATAAGAATAATTATAAAGGCTTTGAAATCAGAGAAAACTTAGAAAGGGAGTGTGAAATCAAGCCCAAAAAGCAAACAAAAAATGCAGTAGGTTTAATAGGCATATATGGGAAAGATTTTTCTTTAAATTGGATATTCAGAATGCATATAAAATCATTCCAATATATACATTGTTCAGATTGGGAATTTTTGGGTTTTACTTTGATATAGAATACTATTTTGACAAAACTCTCCCTATGTGACTTATTTGTAGTTATTTGAAGAATTGGGTACTGCAGTACATTGGGTTTGTGAAAACAAGTTAGGCTTACATGGGAGACTAGTCATGTTTTTGTTCAAGGATATTGGTATTTCAATTAACGAGTTAAAAACTGTCCTTCCATACACTTCGCTTATATTTTTGGGTATTGAGTTGGATATTTTGATGGAAATGTTTACCACAAGACAAGTTAACTAAAGCTAGACACCTTCACAAATTCACAAGTCTAAAAAATCTATAATATTACTAGAGTTACATCTGTAATAGGTGTGTTAAACTTCGCCTGTTCAGTTCAACCTTTTCATCATAGGAAATTGAGTAAGGAATCGGATTTGAATGTTTGGGGTTTGTTTTTAGAGCATTTCAATGGCAAAATTTTTGTCAGAGCAATTTAACCTTTTCATTACAGTTGTATATGGATGCAAGTAACATTGGTTTCAGTGGTTATTTACGAAATCAGTATTTTAGTGGTATATGGCCTAAAACCTGGAAAAATTTCATTTTACAATAAAAGGAGTTATTTCCCAGTGTACTTGCAGTTCAACTTTGGGCAGATCAGTTAGAAAATCGATGTATTGTTATTAAATTTTTTATAAATCAGGAATTAGCATCATCAACTCATAATACTTATCAAAGGGCAATTGAATATTACCATTGTTTGGTGTCATCATTTTGCTTTGCCAACTAAAGGTGTACCAGCAAAAGCAGAAGCTTAAGATATCATTTTGTTTATAGCTTATTGTTACTGGCAACCTATGTTTCAGCAAAGTATTCAACATAAGATGAGGAATATGAAAGGCCCAACTTTTAGTGAAAAAATGATTACAAGGTTACAAGAAAAAGACAAGCTTAGTGGACCTTGGGTTACCTATAACACCAATCATTCTTAAACAGCTGATAGCTTCTTTACAATGTACAACAAGTTTATATTTTGTACAGGTACTTATGTGTATTTAATGACATTTCACTGTTTTGTTAGGATTGTAAAATTTACATCTTCAAAAGACAGATATTGTCATTTATGGACAGTACAATCTGTACATTTTTTTTTAGAAAATACTTCAGACTGCCCAATAGGGTTGGAGTTGACTATGAAAACTTTCAAACATGGTAAATATCTTACACTTTGCATGTGAAAAATGACAGCAAAGATAACACAATATGTCCTGTTCAGGCCCTATGGACATATTTTCAAGTAAAAACCAACTTCTGGTCCTCTTTTTGCTTTCATGGATGGGTCACCGGTGTCACGGAAATATTGTACAGATCAGTTATGTTTGTCATTAAATTTGTGTGGGGTAGATTGTAAATGATTAAAGGTCACAGCTTTCTCAGAGCAGCCACAACGGCTTTTTCCAATGGAGTTCTAAAGCAAAAAATTATATATATATATATATATATATATATATATATATATATATATATAGGTTGAGGTAATATATGACCATGGTGACAAGAGCATCTGGTCAGATTGTAATTCATGTCATTTCAAATCTACTCTGAATTGAGTTCCTATAAAATAATGAGTAATTTGTTAACTTGTTTGGTTGATTGCAATCAAGTGTTTTAATTACTGGTGTCACAAAATGACCATGGTGACAAGAGCACACAGATTGTAATTCATGACATTTCAAATCTACTCTGAGTTGAGTTCCTATAAAATAATGAGTAATTTGTGAACTTGTTTGGTTGATTGCAATCAAATGTTTTAATTACTGGTGCCACAAAATTATACCCGACCATGGTGACAAGAGCATCTGGTCAGATTATAATTCATGACATTTCAAATCTACTCTGAGTTGAGTTCCTATATAAACTAGTGAGTAATTTATTTTGTTGATGTCTATCAAGTGTGTTAATTACTGGTGTCACAAATTATTCCCAATCATGGTGACAAGAGCATCTGATTGTAAAATAAATATCAAACCAGTAATAGAGAATATGAGGGTTTGGACAATTGTCAAAATATGTGAACAAGTTTGACACATTATCCGTTTCAGGAAAGAGGACATTGGCTTAGAAAAAACATTTTCAACCATGATGACAGGAGCATCTGGTTGTATCAAGAAGTAGTAAAGTTTTGAGTTAATTATGTATCTAACAAAGTTTGTGTACAATGCATAAAAATATGGTTTGATTTACAAGAGTTGACATAGTTTCTTTGTATGTTGGTAATGTGTTATTTTTCATTGTTTGAATCCAGTTTGTATGAATTTTAGGGATACTTTTATTGTAGTAAGATTAAGATCGCACTTAGGTTGGGTGGGGATTACTGCTGATGACAGTTCAGATCTGCCTGTCATTGGCAGTAAGTGGCATTTTTACCTTACCCCACCTTTGATGTAAAAATTTTATACAGTAATGTTTTGATCTATTTGGAAGTTGCATGTAGTGATATTGGTATCACTGCAAGGTTTATAAATGTAAATCTATCAAACTACATTTTCATTTTTGTAATAGTTTTACAAAATTGTCATTTGATAATAAATGACCTTTTTCAACTTCAAACGGTGTTGTGTTTGAATCAGATAGTGTAATATTACATCAAACAGAGCAACCTTTAGTGCGAGTATCAGGAAGATGGGCATAAATGCTATTTATGTTCATAAATGATTTTATATTCTTGTATATTGAAAGTGGGCCAAGCGAGATAACTCTAATACTTTTGAGCAGTCTTGTTTTTTGCAACAGCGTCAGTATCAGATTGAGTACAATCAGTGGCAGCGCCATATTTGTATGCAAATACAAGTTTATTTTTGAACAGCCCTCCCACCTCTCCCTAATAGTTAAAAATTTATAGTGTTCTTAATTGATGTGAAAAATTTGACAATAAATTTCCATATTTCTTTTTTTCAGTAGGTAAGGCATTTTTACCTTACCCCACCTTTGATGTAAAAATTTTATACAGTAATGTTTTGATCTATTTGGAAGTTGCATGTAGTGATATTGGTATCACTGCAAGGTTTATAAATGTAAATCTATCAAACTACATTTTCATTTTTGTAATAGTTTTACAAAATTGTCATTTGATAATAAATGACCTTTTTCAACTTCAAACGGTGTTGTGTTTGAATCAGATAGTGTAATATTACATCAAACAGAGCAACCTTTAGTGCGAGTATCAGGAAGATGGGCATAAAAACTTGTTTTATTTCCTATCCTTTTCCTATCTCTGTATATAATATATAATGTATGAAATATAAAGTCTATGTTATCTTATAAACAAAATCATTATTGAATGAATATTGATACTTGTTTTAAAATCTCATCAAAGTTATGTTTTTAAGAACATATATACGTATTCCTTCAATGCGAAGGTTTGGTCTAGACATTAATTGCACTTACAGAAAGACAGATATATTGTTCATATAAGACTTAAAAAAGAAAAGAAAACGAATGCAAAAAAAAAAAAAAAAAAAATATGTTTTTTTATTTTTTAAACTGTTTAACGTATTGAATACTCGTATTTTCATTGACAATATATATCACACCTGACGAAACATTTCAAGTACAAAATGATAACAAAGCTTTAAATAATCAATAAAACTCAACAGATTACTAATATACCGAAAACTTTATATTACCTTAGAAGGCGGAATGCTATCTTTCAGATCATCAAGGCTGTTTTTTTTAATGACAACTCTTTTCGTCTGTAGTTTTAGTTCACCATATTCTGCAATTTGTTTAGTCATTGAAAGATGATTTGTCCTGCTGGATGATTCATCAAAGCTTACGATGCAGAGAGAATCTTCAAGCTTCTCAACCTTTAAACAATAAGTTCATCAACAATTAGGATGCTTATCTAAAAATGCTATTTTATGTAAGGCAAAATCGTTCACTATATTAATATTCTGGCAGCCACCTTATATGCAAGATTTATGCAAGTTTGGACTGGGTAGACTTTTTTTTATTATTTAGGAATAGAATTGCTTCGAAAACTTTATTTCGTTCAACCACCTCACTCCCTTCCTTCTCTAATGCTACGTGAATGGGAAAAATCAGCATCTAAAGCAGGTATGGAAGATGGCATCCTCAAAGTTTGGTTGTAAAGGGCATAACCTCTGAATGAATGTCTTTTAAAAAATGTTTATTTTGTCTTTCAACCATGAATTGTAGGTCAGCATAATCATACTTTGCAGATTTGCATTTCAAAATGCATTATGCATGCAGATTGTCATGGAAGAGCTTATAGTAATTTAGAAGAAGACCTGACTCAAAATTATATTTTCAATCATATGAAACATTATTGGTCAGATCCAAAAACTCAGTATGTGACTTGTAAAGTATTATCTTATTTCTAAATTTGATATCACATCTCATCTTACATTCAAAGGTTTGATTTCAAATCTGCAATTTTGAAAACTTGTTCAATATTTACACATATCTAGCTTTCCCAAACAAGTGTAAAGCAAATAAAGTCACTAAACTCTTTTTTAGAACATCCTTTCCTTTCTAATCGAGGTATACAAGTATAATGGAAATAAAAAGAATCTTTATAACATTTGAATGGGCTCTATCATTTTTTTCTTTAGAATAGACGAAAGAGAGAATTTCATTTTGCAATAAGCAAAGAGACAGAAATCTGATATATGTTTTGAAATACATGTATTTTATTACAGAATGCACGTGCATTTCTTACATGATCTGGATTTGTTGCATTACTGACGTTTTTGTTTCTTCTGGTCCATGCTCCAGTACAGCAGTACGTTTCACAAATTTGTTAAACAGACACAATAAGACTATGACATTTAAACATGACACTAGAAAAAGTAAAGTCAGTACAATATATAACAGTTCAAATTGGATATTTTCTCTCTCGGTTTCTGAAAAAAAGAGAAAATAAGAAAAGAGATTTATCGAATCATTTGACAAGAAAACGTTAGTGTATTTCCTTACACTGTAGTACATGTACTACCCTAATGTGAAAATATTGCACTTAGAAAGAAATCTTACTGAAGGGGTCAAATTAACTTACTCTTCTGCAGTGGAATATGGTTTCCTTTTTCTGTCCTATCAATATCTTTTCGGAGTGTTGTCATTTGTACATTTTCATCGAAAGCTTCTATAAACTCACTTAGTTCCATGATTAGAGATGTTATTTTTTCTACTTCCTTCTCGACTTCTTTTGTTTTTGTATTAATACTCGTTGTATCATTTCTTATGTTTTCCATCAAATCAACAACTCTCCTTTGAACATTTCTAGTTTCTTCAACAGCTTTTTTAAATTTAATTGACATTGAGTTTTCAATAGGTTTTGCTTTGTGTTGGGAATTTTCATGATGTTCGCATTTTTCATCTACTTTCTTACGAGTTTCTGAAACAGCTGTCAATATTTGTTCAAACTGTGTTTGTCCTTTGTTTATTTCTTCCGATATCATGCTTTTTATTAAAATTTTGATATCTTCCTCAGATTGAATAAATTTACTTTGAAGTCTAAAATCTAAGTCTCCTTGACATTTCCCCTCCATT